TTTTTGGGACACTTGCGTTTGCTAGGGCTAAAGGCCACCATATTGAGCGTGGATGAAGATGAAGAAGACGGAGAGAAAAATGAAGAAGCCTACACCGAATTGATACAGGTTTTGGATGATAAAAGTATTTCCCTGATAATGAGAGAAGCAGCAGATGATGGGAGAAAAGCGTTGAAGATATTGAGGGAACATTATGCAGGTAAAGGGAAGCCACGTGTGATTAGCCTCTACACTGAGCTAACTTCTCTTCAGAAAGCCAGTGACGAAAGTGTTACGGATTATATCATTCGTGCTGAGACGGCTATTACAGCACTGAGGAATGCTGAAGAGACTTTAAGTGACGGGCTGTTGATTGCAATGATTCTGAAAGGTTTGCCCGAATCATTTAAGCCGTTTGCCATCCACATAACGCAGAGTGACGAGCCGACAACTTATGGCAAGTTCAAAACCAAGTTGAGGAGCTATGAAAGCACCGAGAAGTTTAGCGCCATTTCCACTGACGACAACGTGATGAAGGCAAGTAACATTAAAGTTAGCTGGCCAAGAGGAAGAGATAAAGGGACCGAGATAACCTGCTTCAACTGTGGCCAGAAAGGGCACAAGGCCCGGGAATGTACCGTTACTGGAGAGCACAGAGAACGGAGACAGTGGTGTCGTTTTTGCAAGAGCTCCACTCATACTGACGCAAATTGCAGACGAAAAAGAAGAGACAATGTGAAACAAGCAACAGATGCTGAAGGCCACACATTTGCATTCAAAATAAGTGACTGTCAGGTTCGTGGACTGAAACAAAAAGGGCTGATGGTTGATACGGGAGCAACGTCACATATAGTCACGGACATCGGGAAGTTTAAGGAGTTTGACGAGACTTTCAAACCGGAAAAACATTCCGTGGAGCTGGCTGACGGAACAAGAACGAATGGTGTCGCGGAGAGGAGAGGTGCAGCGGAGGTTTACCTGAGAGACAACACGGGTCGTCGGGTGAAAACAACGCTGACGAAGGCGCTGTACGTGCCGTCGTTTCCACAGGACATTTTCTCTGTTAAAGCAGCGACAGCCAACGGAGCTTCAGTCAACTTTCGACAGGGGTGTAACAAGCTCACCCACAAAAACGGTACCACTTTTCACATTGAGGAGTACGATAGACTTTACTATCTTAACACTGTAAGTGATGAAAATGATGATGGATGTCATGGGTGCTATGATATTCACACATGGCACAAAATTCTTGGCCACTGTAATTTTGAGGATGTGTCAAAGTTAGAAAATGTGACAGAGGGAATGAAAACCACAGGTAAGATTGACAAACCTACCCTCAACTGTGAAATCTGCACACAGGGAACATTTGTTCAGAGCAGAAACAGAGAGCCTGATGAAAAGGCAAAAGCAGCTCTTGAGCTTGTCCACACTGATTTGGCTGGCCCTATTGAGCCAGAGGCGAAAGATGGGTTCAGATATACTCTAGCATTTACGGATGATTATTCAGGGGCAGTTTTTGTGTATTTCCTAAAAGCAAAAAGTGATACTGTAAAAGCTACTGAGAAGTTTATTGCTGATGTGGCCCCTTATGGAAAAATAAAGTGTGTCAGGTCAGATAATGGCACAGAGTACACAGCCAAAGAGTTCCAGTCACTGCTCAGTAAGAATGCCATAAGACATGAAACTTCAGCCCCTTACTCACCCCATCAAAATGGGACCGCTGAGAGAAATTGGAGAACACTGTTTGAAATGGCAAGATGCATGCTACTTGAGAGCAACCTACCAAAGAAATTGTGGACATATGCTGTAATGACTGCTGCAGTAATTCGCAATAGGTGTTACAATAAGCGTGTAGGACAGACTCCACACTACATGTTTACTGGGAGAAAGCCTGATCTTTCAAAGATGAAAGAATTTGGATCTGTTTGCTATGCATACAGACAGAACAAGAAAAAGTTGGACTCAAGATGTGAAAAGGGTATTTTTGTCGGGTATGATAAAAATAGTACAGCATACCTAGTCTACTACCCAGACACTGGAAAAGTTCTTAAAAACAGATTAGTCAAGTTCGTTACAAAAGGTGTAGTCGAACGCCAAACTCAGACAGATTTGGAAATGAGTGATGATCTTCATGGGGAGAGATTTCAATCCCCCATGCCAAAAGCCAAGATGGCAGATCAAAATTCCGAAGAGACACAAGATGTGCAAATCGAGACTTCAGATAGTCAGAGTCCAGAGAGAGGAAGAAGCCCCAGTACTTAAAAGACTATGAGTGTAAAGTGAAGTGTGATGACCAGATACCACCTAGTGTTGACTACTGCTACAGAGTAATGTGCAATGCACCACAAACCTTCAAAGAAGCAATGATTTCACCAAAATCAGAGATTTGGACTACTGCTATGAAGGAGGAGATGGATTCCCTTAGGGAAAATGATACATTCACATTGACCACACTGCCAGAGGGTAAAAATGCAGTGGGGGGCAGGTGGGTCTATGCGGTCAAAAACAATTCAGATGAGACTGAGACATACAAGGCAAGATATGTTGCAAAGGGATATAGTCAAGTGGCAGGAATAGACTATAAGGATACTTTTTCTCCAACTGCAAATATGACATCAGTACGTTGTTTGATGCAGCTAGCAGCTCAGTATGACTTAGAGTTACATCAGATGGATGTCAAAACAGCATATCTACATGCTCCTATTGACTGTGAAGTGTACATGGAGCAACCAGAGGGTTTTGAAGTCAGGTCAGATACAGGTGAGCAACTAGTCTGCAAACTGAACAAGTCACTGTACGGCCTGAAATAGTCAGGAAGGAACTGGAACAAAATGTTGCATGATCACCTTAGTGAAAATGGTTTTACACAGAACCCAGCTGATCACTGTGTTTACAACAAACAAACTGCAACAGAAAGGATCATTTTGATAATTTGGGTCGATGATCTAATTATCGCTGCTAGTGATAGTGACTCACTCACAAGTGTAAAAGAAATGTTAAGTGAAAAATTTAAGATGAAAGATCTTGGGAGGCTTAGACATTTCCTAGGCATTGATTTTACACAAAGTGAAGGGAAAATAAAGATGAGCCAAACAAGGTACATAACCAAGATACTGGAAAGGTTTGGTATGTCAGACTGTAAAACAAGGTCAACACCATGTGAACAAAAAACAAACTTTGATGGTGATGGTGAACCTATTGATTCAAAAAGGTATCGTGAAGTGATAGGCAGCTTGATATATGTTATGACATGTACAAGACCGGATATCAGTTGGATTGTCAGCAAGCTGTCACAATACCTATCAGAACCAAAAGAGCAACACTGGATAACAGCTAAACATTTGTTGAGGTACTTGAAGGGGACAATGAATCAGGAGTTGTGTTACAAAAAGGGGGTGGAAAAACTCAACCTCGTAGCATATAGTGATGCTGATTGGGCAGCAGATCAAAGTGACAGACGAAGCATAACAGGGTATTGTTTTAGTTTAATAACTAAATGTGGACCTGTTATTTCATGGAGGTCTAAGAAGCAGCCAACAGTAGCTTTATCTACATGTGAAGCAGAGTACATGGCACTGGCTGCTACTACACAAGAAAGTTTGTACCTTGTACAGTTATTGGGCCAGATGGATAGTGAGTGCCAATATGCACCAGTAACAATCTTTGAAGATAACCAAGGTGCAATTGCTCTGTCAAAGAACCCAGTATGTCGTCAGAGATGTAAACATGTTGACATCAGATATCATTTCATTCGATCTGCGCTCAGTGATGGCAAAATAAGTATTGAATATTGTCCAACGGCAGACATGGTTGCAGATGTTTTGACTAAACCTGTAACGAAGTTCAAAAATGAAAAATTCTTGGGTTATATGTTTGGAATGTAAACTGACATTTGTGAGATGTATAACTGTAAGCTAAATGTGTTGATAGTGTCAATGTCGCGTCAATTCAAATCTGGTATCAGGAACAAAAGAGGTCAACACGACTTCTAAGGTATACTAGTTATTTTAATTAATGCAAAAACCTTCAATGGTAAATATGATGTTTCGTATATACGGGCTCTCTGTGATGCCTCGCAGGACACTCCAGAGAACTAACTAATTGTTCCAGAAAACAATACCCAAATACTCTGACAGAGGAAGTTTCCCACTTCTCTGCTGGCCAATTAGAGTAAAGACTTGAGTGGTTTAAACTTTCTCAGCCAATCCGTTGATGCAGGGGGTTGGTCTCATCTCTTCGGCGCCCTTTGTTACACACTTCAGCCAGACACAAGATTATCATAACAACCTATCATAGTGAGAAGAGCCAGCTCCCTTAGACATCATTCCCATGTCAAAGGAAGACTCATAGATCACAATGAACCATTATAGTCTTGTATTTGAAGACACAATCCTTATCTTCTCTTCACATCAATCACAGCCTTGCCAGGTGTCACAGCCTACATTAGCCCAGTCAAGACTGCATTCTTTCTAAGTTAGTCATCCCATCAGTTTAGGAGAATAATAAATCCCCAATAATAGTTAGGTTGAATACGACTTGTACAGTATAAGAGCAAGTGGGGGTGTTAACATATAAACTAATATGTTATAAATTGTGTTCTTACACTGGTACAGTTATGCCCTATGAGAGATGTACAACTGCGCATGTGCGAAAATAAAGAAAGGGCATTTTTCCCGCGTTCTGGTTGAAACACCAACGATGAACATGTGTGTTTATTCCTCCGTTAAGTAAGCCGGTATTCCTGTCCTGAAGATGTCAGCACCAACAAAAATATATTTGGATTTGTTTAACACTATTTTGGTTACTACATGATTCCATATGTGTTATTTCATAGTTGATGTCTTCACTATTATTCTACAATGTAGAAAATAATACAAATAAAGAAAAACCCTTGAATGAGTAGGTGTATCCAAACTTTTGACAGGTACTGTATATATTTGCTACTGCTCAACTAAAAACAATATCGGTCGAACAACAGCCTATCGACCAAACAATCGACCAGTTGAATAATTGGGGTCAGTCGTACTTTAATCTTCCCCTTGTCTGAAGGTTGTGGCCTGCGAGTTGGACGGTATGCTAGGCTCCAGAAGAGAGTGCAGTGCACGTGAGTACAGTACTTGCCTTAACTTAGCTAGTGAGATACTCCCCTTTAAGGAATTGTACATGTATTAGCTGAAAGTGTGATCGTGATGTAGTGACATCTGTGTCCATTGTCTGTAATAGGCCCATGCAAACCAAACTACAGATCTTGGTGGGGGATGTCCTGAAAACAGAGCTGCCTTTCTTCGACGTCTGTGTCGCCAATTTACCCTACCAGGTAAAACTCTTCACCCTCAGTAACCAACACGGACCCAGTTCAGTAAAACCATAATAGCCTTTTGGCAAAAATACCTACGGATAAATCTGTTTCTTTGTTGTTTTGCAGATTTCATCACCTTTTGTCTTCAAGTTACTTCTGCACAGGCTTTTCTTCAGGTAAGACAAGAGAAGATGGCTGGTTCCAGAGCTTCAACACTCCCTTGATCCTGTCATTGACTTAACATCAATTAGTACACTTGGGGGCCAAATCTCAACATCCAATAGGCACGGGTAACCCAGACTGTTGTGTAATTCATGCATTGTTATCAATGGGAGATACTTGGAACATTTGAATATTGTGCATGGACCTCGAGTTGGGATTTGGCCAAATCATTGTTTATTTGTCATATGCACCGGATTGATATGGCGTAGTGTACACAGTACAATTAAATGCAACTCGCAAGGTCTCCTCAGAAACAGTGCAACGACTAAAACAATGGCTAAAAACATCTATTAACATATTTGATGACTTGTCAGATGTTCCAGAGAGTTTGCCAGGCGTCTGGTTGCCAAGCCTGGAGACAAACTGTACTGCAGGCAGGCTGTCCATCAACACTCAGCAGCTGGCTTGAGTAGACCACCTCATTAAGGTCAGTGGGATCTCTTGGTTCCGTCCCAAATGGGTCCTGGTCAAAAGTAGTGCGCTATATAGACGTGTTAGCTGACATCACGAAAACAATGTGCATGCTTCAATGGGGCAGAAGGCTGGGTTTCGTGATTCTGGATGGCCAGATCGCTAGCAACAATGACAAGAAGCTACCATGTGGGGAATCATAGTTGGTTCGTTTCAGCTAGTTTGATATTGTTCTTGATACCATGTTTTGTTTTGTTTTGAGGTGTTTTGACTGATGTCACGTCTATGCTAATATGGCAAATGTCAATAGCTAGCCAACCAACAACTAACACTGTGTTTGAGACAAGTGCTCATTGTGCAAATGTATTTATGTTTTCAATAAACATTCAAGACGAAATAGTTTACATGTTGTCAACAGTCTAAGCCAACCCCGTCTGTTTTGCCCCATAGTTGCGCATGCGTCAGTGCTAAACAACCAACCCGTCTATAGGGAATAGAATGCCATTCGGGACAGAACCGTCGACTCAGCCATGGCACTGGCATCCCGTCATTGTGCATGTGGACCGTTGTGGTTTCTCAACTATGTTACTACCTTTTCTTCATTCCAAGAAAAAAACCCTTGGCTCTGTTAACCACAAACTATGATAATTTCTCTCTTGCTCAGGTGGGGAAGAATAATTAGTGGAGTCGAGTGTTGTCAGAATAGAGCCTAAGAATCCTCAACCTCCTGTTAACTTCCAGGTAAGTGTTAGTTCTGCAAAGGTTGTGAAACCTAGGTGTTAAAATGTTCTGCTGCACAGTAGTTATTGTAATCAGCAGTACAATGCAATATTTCTTTCAAACAGGAATGGGAGGGTCTCGTCAGAATCACATTTGTGAGGAAAAACGAAATACTCAACGCAGGTTTCAAGTGAGTACCAAAATAAAGGGTATTCAAATCATAGTTAGTCATATCCTGGCGGCATCAAATAGTAATGTGACAAGCTATAACATTAACACCGAAGATGATGGTGCTTTCCAGGTTCACTGCAGTTGAGCAGCTGTTGGAGAAGAACTATAGGATTCACTGTTCAGTACACAACGTGGTAAGCACACACCTCATGACAATATTCACTGATGTTTCTGCAGTCAGTATATTTTCACATTCTGGATGTGGTTAGGTGATTATCAGTATTGTCAAAGTGAGTCATTACATTTGTTCATGTTTCTGGAACAGGAAATCCTAGCAGACTTCAGCATAACCAAGAAGATTTAGTATTCTGCAGGAGGCATTGTTTAGTGAGAAGCGAGCCAGGAGCATAGACGACTTCATGGTGTAAGTGGAGCTGGCTATTCTACATATGTATGCGTTTTATTTTGTTTTAATGTTACGTTAACTAGTGATTCTTCATGCCATAACCTTCATGTTGTCTGTCCACAGACTTCTCCACGCGTTCAACTCTGCTGGGATCCCTATTTCCTAAGCAGACGGTACTGCTGAGGACTTGATGCAGGAAAGCAGTATTGTGGAAACCTATCCAGGTTTTAAACCTCCAGTGCTCTTTAAGGAACGGCAACTGGAAGCTGTTATGGATTGTTGAGACACATCCAAGTCATTTGATTGGATGAATGATGACTACACTCATTTGATAGATCTTACCCCCTGGACTACATTCATTGTGCCTTTTCTATGAAAATGAACTGGTGATCAGTGAACTGTACATATTTATTAAGTGGTTACGTGTATAGTTACCCAAACGCTACACCACACCCGCGGACGTCAGTTTCCCCGACAATTTCGCAAACACATTCTAACCGTTCTGATTGGACACAGAAACCGGTCGGTTGGGCCAGAGCCACAACACACATGGGTAAAGCAGCGTTTAGAAAATGTGTAATTGGCTTTGATACTCGGATTGGTTAGAAATTATTAAAATCGCTGATGACTTTTTGTATAACACCCCTCATTTTGACGTAACCACAAACGACAGCAGTCTGACTGAAGTATGTAGCGAACATAAACAGAATTCTTCCGCTGCTCTGAGTCGTCAGGCAAATGGATAGCGAATGCTCATACATAAAATAGATGCACTACAATGTAGTTGGTCATCCCTAAGCATCAGCTGAACCTAACGTGCTTGGTTGTCATGGATAGGTTTAGAAATATACTTTGTAATATGTGTAAGGAGCCTGTCAATAATAAGAGTTTTTGAAATAGTGTTGGTGTATTTCATGAAGTTCAGCAATTCATTACTTCTTTACCACCACAAAAAAATTCATTCTGACTTCCTTTATATCTCCATCTTAAAGATGTAGCTACTAGCTACAACTTTATCCAGTTGAAACGGTATGCAAAATATACAATGACAGTGTTCAAACTGGGCCATTGCTGCGCTGTAGGGTCCCCCGTGTTGACTGTCCTCACGATGAAGCTGAAGTCTGCCTCTAGATGGCGCTGCTGGTGTCACTGACTACTAGTGCTGAGTGACAGGGCCAGAGTCACCACAGTCTCCCTTCCTGACAACCCTCGCTGTCTCTCTATGCCCTACAAACACAGAACATCATACTGCTTACTACGCAGACTAATGTAAAGACTATCGTTATCAACCATTTTACAGCGTCTTTACTACCTATGTATGAAGACTGAAAAATGTCAGCCCCGTTATACCCGGCCTACATCCCTAGTCGTATTTTGACCACATGCATTTCTCTCAGAGATCAAGGGCAGACTATTGAGAGGTTCTAATGCCACATCAAGAGTTAAACGTCATCCACACTCAGGTAATTCAGTAGTGCAGGCTAAGGGTAAAATCAAAACAGGTGATTCTTTATTGAGCCAGTGTTACATCTCGTGCAAACACTGAGCAACATATGCAGCAGTATGTCAGTGGTTTTTACTATACATTTGTTAGTGGTTTTTGTTCTAATTTTTTTTACAAAGTGAGTGAAAAATGACTTCACAGTATAAAAGTAAAAGGGGGAACAAATTAACTGGGGTTGCCACGAAACATGAACACAAAACTGAATCAAACTATAGACTGGTCATGGAGGAAAAAACATGGATACAAGAGGGAGGAAAGATAACACGAGAAGAAGCACAGCTTGATTTGATGCCTCTCAAACTCAGAAGAAACTCAGAGAAAGACGAAAAGGAAGACTGGCCCTACAGAGTAACATCTATATGCTGTACAGTGTTAACTGAGCAGTGACCCAACCACACGCATGATGGAGGATGGAGGCCAACATACAGAGTTGCACATGCACACATCAGTCAGACCTACCAGAATCCACAACACTGGTACTGTAGAACCCTAAAGCACAACCAACATGGAGAGGTCTCTGATGAAGCCAAGTCAACAGCCGTTCAATTTAAAGAAATAAGTTGTTTTTTTAAAGTAAATAAAATCGAACAAAAAAAGATACAAAAAAGTTAGCATAAAAAAAATCAGAAAAAAAAGGGATCCAAGGTTGCATTCCCCTCCCGTTATTTCTGGTGACATCCGTGGGCCTAATTGGAAAACAGATGAGTCCTTTCCTTTGTCTTTTCACAGGCGGTTGTGACAGCGTGAGACAGCTGTGCTAAGTACACTACATGGTCAAAAGTATGTGGACACCTGCTCGTCGAACATCTCATTCTAAAATCATGGCCATTAATATGGAGTTGGTCCCCCCTTTGCTGCTATAACAGCCTCCACTCTTCTGGGAAGGCTTTCCACTAGATGTTGGAACATTGCTGCGGGGACTTGCTTCCTTTCAGCCACGAGCGCATTAGTGAGGTCAGGCACTGATGTTGGGCGATTAGGCCTGGCTCGCAGTCGGCGTTCCAATTAATCCCAAAGGTGTTCGATGGGGTTGAGGTCAGGGCTCTGTGCAGCTAGTCAAATTCTTCCAAACTATCTCAAAAAAACAATTTCTGTATGGACCTCGCTTTGTGCATGGGGGCATTGTCATGCTGAAACAGAAAAGGGCCTACCCCAAACTTGCCACAAAGTTGGAAGCACTGAATCGTCTAGAATGTCATTGTATGCTGTAGCGTTAAGATTTCCCTTCACTGGAACTAAGGGGCCTAGCCAGAACCATGAAAAACAGCCCCAGACCATTATTCCTCCTCCACCAAACAGTTGGCACTATGCATTGGGGCAGGTAGCGTTCTCCTGACATCCGCCAAACACAGATTTGTCCGTCAGACTGCCAGATGGTGAAGTTTCATCACTCCAGAGAGCGCGTTTCCAATGCTCCAGAGACCAATGGCGGCAAGCTTTACACCACTCCAGCCGACGCTTGGCATTGCGCATGGTAATCTTAGGCTTGTGTGCGGCTGCTCGGCCATGGAAACCCATTTTATGAAGCTCCCGACGAACAGTTCTTGTGCTGACGTTGCTTCCAGAGGCAGTTTGGAACTCGGTAGTGAGTGTTGCAACCGAAGAGAGACGATATTTATGCGCTTCAGCACTCGGCGGTCCCGTTCTGTGAGCTTGTGTGGCCTACCACTTCGCGGCTGAGCCGTTGTTGCTCCTAAACGTTTCCACTTCACAATAACAGCACTTACAGTTGACCGGGGCAGCTCAAGCAGGACAGAAATTTGACGAACTGACTTGTTAGAAAGGTGGCATCCTATGACGGTGCCACGTTGAAAGTCATTGAGCTCTTCAGTAAGGGCAATCTACTGCCAATGTTTGTCTATGGAGAGCGCATTGCTGTGTGCTCGATTTTATATACGCCTTTCAGCAACGGGTGTGGCTGAAATAGACTAATCCACTAATTTGAAGGGGTGTCCACATACTTTTGTATATGTAGTGTATCTAGTGTTTATGTTCCTGTATGTACCACTGCCCCTCCACACACAGACCATACACCCCTCCTCTCCTTGGTCGACCACACACCCCACCCTGGTCTGGTCTACAGCAGGGCACGCGGCCTCTTAGGATTGATCTGCTTACTGGCTTGTTCTTCTTCCTGGAGCGATGAGCGGAACGACTTGACTTTATCTGAGGAGAGGAACACAGACAGTGGATTAGATATTGCTTATCAAAAAATCCCATGATTTATGTAAATAGACGTGAACCTACTAATGAATGTCAACGGTGATCTGCATAGATACAAATCAACAAACGATTGAAAAATAACCTCAGGAAGTGAATAATACAAATATGCCAACTTGCATAGGCCAGGCGTTAAAACTCGCGCTAATTTTGAGCACCTCATCCCTAAGAGATGTTCTTTTATCAGACAAACGGTGCCATGTCACTAATAACATTTATGTCCATGCCTACCTCTGAGCTCCGTAAGGATGTCAATCTTCTGATCCAGGATCTGCTCCAGCTGAGTGGCGTACGAGTCCACATCATAGTCCACCTCCTCAGTCATCTCCAGCAGAACCTTCTCATCCTCCAGCCACCGGATAGACTCCTGCTCACAACACACACATTAACATCTCACTTAGTCATCTCCCCACTGAAACAAATTATTCAAATCAATTATTTTGCTCCAATCGAGTCAGCATCACATTAGCTTGAAGAACTGGATGATTTAGAGAATTTCATGGATAGTGTCTCCACACTTCACAGGACATCAAGCTTGCAGATTCATTCATCTCAATAGTTGGAACCTCCTAACTAACTATATGTGAAAGGATCTAAGAGGAGCCATCTGTTAATGGAGTCTGACCTGGAAGACAGCTCTGTGGTCCTCCAGCACCTGTTCCTCCATCTCCACCATCTGAGAGACAGCCTCATGGAAGGTTAAGAGCTGGGGGGACACCTCCTCCTCCTGGGGAGACAGAACAGACACACACACTTCAACCAGCAACACCAGACCCAACACCTCTATTGGGGAAATGGCCTCAAACGCATGGATGCAAACACGTGTGCATGCACACAGTAAGAAAACCATCTAGGATAAAAGCTGTGCATGAGCATAGAAGTGCATTAAGAGTGTTGCTTACGTTCTGCTCACAGAGCAGTTTGAGGTCGTCTCTCTGGGGGGAGCTGCCCAGGTGGTCCCAGTCATCATCCAGCTGGTCCACCACATGGATGTTGGGCCGGACCCCCTCTATCACCTGGTTAGGGTCCACCGTCAGCTCCTTCACTCTGTGGGTCAATCAACACCTTCGGTCAGCTAACACATTGCTGCTCTGCCCAGTTAAGTACACTACACTTAACTTGATGGGCTTATTCACTAGGGCCCAACATTCAGGATGTTGCAGATAGAAATCCATTACTTTGATATGACTGTGACTAAGTATATTAAGTCATGTAACTTCTATGCAATACATTGCTGACTGAATGTTTTGGCCCATTGAATAGATGCCTAGACACCATCACGACACCATGCACAACCAATGGGGTTCCATCTGTGTCTTATTGATGGCCTTTTGGCTCTAGCCAGCGGCAAACTTATTGAAAGACACTCCATTTTAGTTTACAGTGAAATGGTCCCTTTTAAATTTCAATTAATTTTATTTCCTTGATGAAACCGAATTAAGTAATATGAGATGAATAGCTAAGATTCGGAGTGCTAGTTTAGTTGTTCCCCACTAAAGTAACTAACTGTTAATGCTATAGAACTGACTGTAGAAGCTATCTGTTTTCAACGGGGCCCTTGCATGTTAGCCATGTTTCGCACGAGAATGAGTGACAAGGAGTTGGCATGATAGCACAAACATACTGGTACTCAGGCTACTTGAATGTGGAGTACAATAAGTGCTGTGGACAGTCCATATGGCCAGGCCTGTTTATACTGCTAGCATCTGGGTGTGTATTTAATGAGGTGTGACTGAGCTGATAAGGTCCAGTAGAGTAAAATGACCTTATTGACCCGTGTCTGACCCACTGACTGACTGGGTGGTGACAGGGATTACTACTGTAGCAGTGGGAGGTGGAACAAACACAGGCTGGTCTCACTGCATCTTTGGCAATAATTGTATGTACTTAGCCAAGGTATTATCCTCTAACTAGCACAGTATAAACTGACCAGTCAAATATTAGGTGTTAACCCATAAGAGTCTAAGTCCTGTCTAAGCCGGGGGAAGGGGGGGTACTACTAAGCTAAACTCAGCAAAAAAAGAAACATCCTCACTGAAAACAGCGTTTATTTTCAGCAAACTTAACATGTGTAAATATCTGTATGAACGTAACAAGATTCAACAACTGAGACATAACCTGAACAAGTTCCACAGACATGTGACTAACAGAAATGGAATAATGTGTCCCTGAACAAAGGAAGTGTCAAAATCAAAAGTAACAGTCATTATCTGGTGTGGCCACCAGCTGCATTAAGTACTGCAGTGCATCTACTCCTCATGGACTGCACCAGATTTGCCTGTTCTTGCTGTGAGATGTTACCCCACTCTTCCACCAAGGCACCTGCAAGTTCCCGGACATTTCTGGGGGGAATGGCCCTAGCCCTCACCCTCCGATCCAACAGGTCCCAGATGTGCTCAATGGGATTGAGATCTGGGCTCTTCGCTGGCCATGGCAGAACACTGACATTCCTGTCTTGCAGGAAATCACGCACAGAACGAGTAGTATGGCTGGTGGCATTGTCATGCTAATATAATAATAATATATGCCATTTAGCAGACGCTTTTATCCAAAGCGACTTACAGTCATGCGTGCATACATTTTTTTGTGTATGGGTGGTCCCGGGGATCGAACCCACTACCTTGGCGTTACAAGCGCCGTGCTCTACCAGCTGAGCTACAGAGGACCACGGAGGGTCATGTCAGGATGAGCCTGCAGGAAGGGTACCACATGAGGGAGGAGGATGTCTTCCCTGTAGCGCACAGCGTTGAGATTGCCTGCAATGACAACGAGCTCAGTTCAATGATGCTGTGACACACCGCCCCAGACCATGATGGACCCTCCACCTCGATCCCACTCCAGAGTACAGGCCTCGGTGTAACGCTCATTCCTTCGACGATAAACGCGAATCCGACCATCACCCCAGGTGAGACAAAACCACGACTCATCAGTGAAGAGCACTTTTTGCCAGTCCTGTCTGGTCCAGCGATGGTGGGTTTGTGCCCATAGGCGACGTTGTTGCCGGTGATGTCTGATGAGGACCTGCCTTACAACAGGCCTACAAGCCCTCAGTCCAGCCTCTCTCAGCCTATTGCGGACAGTCTGAGCACTGATGGAGGGATTGTGCGTTCCTGGTGTAACTCGGGCATTTGTTGTTGCCATCCTGTACCTGTCCCGCAGGTGTGATGTTCGGATGTACCGATCCTGTGCAGCTGTTGTTACACGTGGTCTGCCACTGCGAGGTTGATCAGCTGTCCGTCCTGTCTCCCTGTAGCGCTGTCTTAGGCGTCTCACAGTATGGACACTGCAATTTATTGCCCTGGCCACATCTGCAGTCCTCATGCCTCCTTGCAGCATGCCTAAGGCATGTTCACACAGATGAGCAGGGACCCTGGGCATCTTTCTTTTGGTGTTTTTCAGAGTCAGTAGAAAGGCCTCTTTAGTGTCCTAAGTTTTCATAACTGTGACCTTCATTGCCTACCGTCTGTAAGCTGTTAGTGTCTTAACGACCGTTCCACAGGTGCATGTTCATTAATTGTTTATGGTTCATTGAACAAGCATGGGAAACAGTGTTTAAACCCTTTACAATGAAGATCTGTGAAGTTATTTGGATTTTTACAAATAATCTTTTAAAGACAGGGTCCTGAAAAAGGGACGTTTCTTTTTTTGCTGAGTTGGAATTGTTTTAAGGTCATACCAAGGATCACTTTGCTATTTGAATTTTAAGACGCACACCTGTTATCGTCCATGAGAGGGTATTAGAAGAACCGCGTTCACAGTTAACACAACCTCAGCACCGCAAAAGATGAAAGGAGAAGCGCATGCCAAGGATGAAGAAAAGGATGACATGGAGATTAAATAAAAGGGAAAGGAAATGAAGAAGACGTGTGAATAAGTCCTCCACAGAGACTGGTGAGAACGATGGAACAAAGAAGAAGTGTGTTTTGGGTGTATTTTACAACTAAATGTATGCATACAGGAAATGCATGTAGGTAAGTGTTTGTGTAGGCAACAGAAAAGGTACGTGTGTAGTGTGTGTGTGCACGCAATGGGAAAGTGCTTGACCTGCTGGGAGAGGTAGCAAAGTCATCGTACTCATAGGTGGGCGAGAGCTCCGAGAGCTCCGAGCGACTTCCACCGCCCTGGGAGAAGGGGATATCTGAGGGACTGATCCCAAACTCCTTTACTCTGCACAGAACAGCACCAGGCCCAGAGCAGGAAGAGGGGGGGAGAGCGGAACAGGAAAGACGAGAGACGAGGGTCAGGACACAGAGCTACAGGCAAAGAGTAATTTTCCTTTCACCATCATCTGCCTGCCACAGTGGCACTCTTTCACATATGTAGCCTACATCTGATCAAACTGCTGCAGGCAGATACACCCAATTCTGCCTATTGAGGCGCAGAAGTATTGTCTACCCATAGCTAAGCTCAACAATGCTGTGTACAAGAGCACAGTGAAGACCTCAAGGTCATTACCACACCTTGTGTGTGATCAGTTACCATAGAAACCTAAAGGGAGAGTGGTCAAAGAGGAGGTTCCTATATTCCTTTTTCCAGACTAGAGTTCTCTGCTGATCACAGCTGGAAAGGTCAGGTGTAGGAGACAGATTCCCATGGCCAGCTGTAACGTGTGTGCCCACCTGTTAGCGTAGCGTAGCGTGTTGAGGGTGTTCTCACAGGACGTCATACCAGGAGAGATAGTTGCTATCTGGATGGGACAGAGGTGAGGAGAAACTCAGTGGAGGTAAGGGAAGGACAATACAAAGACCAAGTAAGGTGGCCTGTCTTTTGCAGAAAGAGTGTTTACTTTCAAAGTGAGGAGAATATACACCCTGTATATCGACCTCTACATGGTCGGTATAGTCATAGGCCAAGGAATCTTTAAAATAATTGATTTTAATAAAAATTATTAATGAAATCAGAGATGACTGAGCCCAATGCCAGTGAGGAGAATGAACTCACCAATTACCAAATCCAATAACTAATGATGAACTCACCATGCATGTGCGGGAGTTCTCCCCTATAAAGGAGTCTCGGAGGACCTGGGTGAGCTTGCTGGCCCTGAACGGAGTGTGAGGTTTGTTCCGCCCCAGCGCCCTGATGCACTCCTGGTAAAGTTAAAGAGAGATATAATGAGCTACAGTCGGTCTACTGCAAGGCCTGACATATATATATATATATACATACACATCCACACACATACTGAGAGAGGGGACAGGAAAAATTCAGTTGACCATTTCTATAACATTAAGTTACTTCCAACTAGGACTGCTAGTTCTGTTCAGCTGAATCAAAAAACATCTCAGACAGCACACGATGGAGCTGTATTCAGAGACATCCAGATGGTTACAACCAATATTATAAGTTATTTCTCGTGTGTTGGCTGCTATCCTACTCAAACTAAAATCAAGTGGGATGGAACAAAATGGAGATGGTGACCAAATCCAAATGTTGACCAATACTAGTTATTTCTCCCTCGCCCATAGAAATAAACCTCACTTTCATTTGCATGTTTTAAGCAGCGTTATGCTGCTGTTGTTGCCAATTAGCGGAGAAGGACTCATCAGGACGACTGACTGAACCGAATCCATTCGTCTCCACACTTGACTCTGTTTATTAGGTACACCACCCTGTTCACGAAAATGGTTAGCTCCTACAGACAGTGAGTCACGTGGCCGTGGCTTGCTATAGAAAGCAGGCAGACAGGCATTGAGGCATTCAGTTACTGTTTGATTGAACGAGTGACCTAAGCGACTTTGAGCATGTATGATCGTCAGTGCCAGGCACGCCGGTTCCAGTATCTCAGAAAGGCCTCCTGGGCTTTTCACGCACGAAAGTGTCTAGGGTTTACCGAGAATGGTGCGACAAACCAAAAACATCCAGTCAGCGGCAGTTCCGTGGACGAAAACTGTTCATTGATGAGAGGTCGAAGGAGAATGGCAAGAATCGTGCAAGCTAACAGGCAGGCCACAAACGGCACAGTGCAACAGTGGTGTGCAGAACGGCATCTCGGAATGCACAACTCGTCAGTCCTTGTCACGGATGGGCTATTGCAGCAGATGACAAAACCGGGTTCCACTCCTATCAGCTAAAAACAAGAAGATCAAACACTGGACAATTGAGTGGAAAAACATTATCTGGTCTGACAAATCCCGGTTCCTGTTGCATCATGTAATGGTGCAGGGAATGTTTTCCTGGCACATGTTTGGTCCCTTGATACCAATTGAGCAACATTTCTATGCCCCGAAGAATTCAGGCTGTTCTGGAGGCAAAGGGGGGTCCAAGCCGTTACTAGATGGTGTACCTAATAAACTGGGGAATTTGGGCTCTCCCTGTCAGAATCCTCTGCAGCTCCCGCTGACCTCTCCCTTCTGACCTTTAGTGCCAGCAGGCTCTTGTTGATCTCGGCTCCCTCCAGGCGTGTCTGGCGGTCAGCGCTGGACGTGTCGGCACCCCTTTCATTCCCCGCCAGGTCGATCAGGGAGAACTTGCCGTGCATCTTCCCCTTCCTCCTTAGAATGATCTGGAACACTGCATGGCTACGGGACGAGTGGGCATTGGCCGAGGTCTGACCTGACGTTCTGAGAGA